TGTTAGTACCCCCCCCCGTCCCGCCTCCACAACATGTGCATGGTTTCTGAACCTCTGCGGCGACAAACAACGAGAGTGCTCGGAGAATTAAGCCGCAGAGTGAACCTCTAAACCCTAAACCTCCAAACCCTACTCAACCCTACTAAACCCTACTAAGCCCTGAACCTCTACACACCTCTAAACCCTTAAGCCCCAGGAGCTCCGGTGGAGCTCCCAAAAGCATCCGGACCCGAGCTCCATGTTCGGCGGCTCGCCCGGCGGCTCTGGAGGCCTTGGCTTTGAGGGTTTAGACACGCGCATCGCACAGCAGTGCAGGCACGGCAAAGAACCTTCAGTATATTGGGGATATATATGGGTTATATTGGGATAATGGAAAAGAAAATGGAAACTACAGGGATTATAGGGATTATATAGGGGTTATATAGGGATTATTGAGGTCGGTACACTACTGACAGACTACGGGGGCAGCTCTCCACCAACGAAGAATCGGCTTCACATGCTGTCCCTGACACAACGACTAGCACTCACTGGACGACTACTGCATACAGCACTCAGTTGGGCTTTGAGGGTTTAGGGTTTAGGTTTTTTAGGGTTTTGGGTTTTGGGTTTTTAGGGTTTAGGGTTTAGGTTTTTCTGGGTTAAGGGTTTAGGGTTTGCGGCTTAAGGGTTTAAGGCTTAAGGGTTTTAGGGTCTCAAAGTATATCGTTAACTATGGTTGAAGTGTAAGGCTCGAGGTTCAAGATATCAAAATTTAGGACCTAGGATTTCAGAGTATAGGGCTTAGGATTTAGGTCTGGGTTTCGACGTAAAAGGTTTGGGATTCAGGGCTTCAAAGTGTAAAGTTTAGGGTTTGGGGCTCAGGGCTTCCAAGTAGAGAGTTTAGGGATTAGGATTTCAAAGTATAAGGTTCAGGGTTTAGGGTTTCGAAGTCTGGTGTTTAGCGTATAGGGTTTCAAAGTATGGGCCCCAAGTATGGGCAACAAGTATGGCCCCGGTTTGAGCTTAGCATTCTTAAAGGTGCAGGTGTTAAGTCTAGGCGTGGTGCTTTGGGCTCATGGCTCATGAGGGTTTCGGGTTAAGGTGTCCGGGCGTGCGGCTTTAGAGTTTCTCAGGGTTTTGGGCTCGCGAGTGTTCAGGGCTCGGGCTTACTGCTCAAGCGTCTTCTTGAGGTCCTGTAGGATTCTTGGCTTAGCACTTAAGATCCAAAGTTCAGTACATAGTTCCCATACATCTTTCCTAGGGTCTTGGGTTTAGGTTTGGGGCTTTGGGATCAGGGATGAGGGCTTAGGGCTTGGGGCTTAAGGTTCATGATTGAGTTTTCACCTCGGGTCTGAAGTTTAGGAATTTCTTAGGGACAAAGGCTCTTCGGGGCAGGGCTCTTACCACGCCGCCTCTGGTTGAGGCTCTTAGCGTGTCAGGGTGTTGCTTTCCGAGTTCAGGGTTTAGGGTAGCTTAGGAACAACAAGATTTATAGTCCCAGTCGTATGGTCAACCTTAGGTGGACCCCCCACCCAGTAATAGTGACTATAAGGGATAATAGGGACTATATTGGGGTCCTCTCATATTCATATTATACCACTATTACAGGGCGGGGGGTCCTCCTAAGGTCAACCGTACTTTAGCTAGCACCGGTATGAAGACCTCGGCAGGCCAACCTACATTACATGCGAATATTCAAAACGAAGGTCGCCTACAGCCCCAGGAAATGGCAAGATTATGGAGGTTGAATTGGGACAAACCCAAACCCTATACCCTAAACCATAACCCTAAACGCTCAACCCTAAACCCAACAAAACTCTTCCAATTGCCATGCCGGAGGCTGCATGTCTCTGCGGATGGAAAAGCACAGGCCGGAAAATAATCCAACGGCTGCCGGTAGAAAAAAAATATTGGTTTGAAGTTTCAGGGATTTAGGATTTAGAGCTTAGGGTTTAGGGTTTAAGGGTTAAGGGTTTAGGGCTTGAGGTTGGGCATGGCCCCCACCGTGTAGCAGTCCACATCCGGGGCCTCATTAAGGTCTATATATAACTGTATGATGAATGTTGTCCAACTGTTACAGTGTGGGGGCAGCACCCAAACCATTGCTATTGCTTTCTAGTCAACCGAAAACATGCGGCTTTGCTGGGCAACAACTTGTTGAAAAGACAGCCTCATGAAAAAAAAACATTGCCAATCACGAAACTGGCAATCATTGAAAGCACGAAAAAAACTAGGAACATGCCTTCCCTGGGGACATCCCTGCATGAGAACCTCTGAAGGACCCCAGTCTTGGTCGATTTGTTGTTGAAGATTGGAAAGCGTATTGATGGTCAGACTCCTCTGCACCAGAAGATTAAAGGCTAACACTTACTCCAACACTGTCACTCTGTAGCGACCACCATGCGCCCTAGCACAAATAAATGCAGGGCTCTGCAAGAGATCCTACAGGTACAGAAATAGGGCCAGGGTCTGGCCAAGTAGTTGGGCAGGGATTTGACCATCTATGTCAGAAAGCTGCAAATAGCATTGGCTCAACACCAAAAACAAACACCTGAAAGAGCAGGAGCCACGAATCCAAATCAGCTGTCAAAGGTTCATGTTGCGCTTTGCTAAGTTAGGGGCCGGGTGCAGTGCCAAAAGTTCCCTCATCCCCCAAAAAATGGATCCCCTAGGGCGCCACCAAAGCATGAAGCAACACAACCATCCAAAACCCACTTGAAGCCCCGCAGTTTCCGCAGGCGGGCGTGTCAGTCCGGCACTTTCTGCTGTTGTGAAACGAGATGCTACGAGAAGGGGGAGCGGCTAGGGTTTAGGGCTTAGGGCTTAGGGCTTAGGGTTTAGGGTTTAGGGTTTAGGGTTCTGGGTTGCTGGTAAGGAACTTAATTTAAGTTACTATATTGGGGAAACCCTATCATTTACTATATATACCCATTATGGCAACATAATTTAAGTTCCTTAACAGCAACCCAGTTTAGAGCTTAGGATGGGTCCATCAACGCAGACTTTCGAACCCAGTTTCGACTACACATTACGATGTGTGGGATAGATCTTGCCTGATTGAAAGGGGGGTTGCTAATCACTTGCCTTTCTTAGCCAATAATTCAGCCCAAAGGTTCTTTTATGTGTGGTTTGCCTGTTTCTGGTCTCAAGTTCTTCCAGGTTGAAGATGCTGTGCGAACCATGCATGACCAACAGCTATTCTGCAACTTTGGACTTTCTGCCTTTGGGCAAGTACAGGCAACAAGATGAGTTAGAACTGTAGGGACTAGGGTTTAGGGTTTAGGGTTTAGGGTTAACAACAGAATAACCCTTCTGGCTACCGTTTGCCATACCGGCCATATACAAAGAAGGAACATTCATCAAGGCGGGAAGAGAGCCATCCCAACTGCTCGGGGTTTATTGGGCGGATGCTCGGCTGGAGGCTTGGTACATGGGGCTTCATGGTTGACAGCGCTCTCTCTTTGCCGGGTGCGAAGGGCGGGAGCTCCATGGGGCTGGGATCTTCTGATAATTGCAGAAGTACTCGTGATAGCAATGGTGACCTGGCTGGTACTAGTAATCGTAGCAATACCCGCAACAGCGATAGCGCTGGTAATGGTAATCGTAATGGTGATGGTAAGTAATACTCGAAAAACTGCTGATAATAACCGCAGTAGTAGCAGTCGCGCTAGTCAGCTCATGATAATGCTAACTTGACGGTCATAGTAAGCTAAGGGTTTTTGAGCTCTGGGGTGGCTACTGCGACCTACTGCGATTCTTCTCAGCACGGACGGGTAGAAACCGGCTCCCTGGCAAGTGCGTCACTGCTTCGAAATTAACAAAACGCAAGAGCCGCCACACATGCTTGCTCCATGTATTTCATCAGCATGCCCATGTTCGGTATCTAGGACAGGACTGCGGAAGATTGACTGTCTCAGAGCTACAAGCTGAGCTTCTGGCTGAAGACCCGTACTCATCACTGAGAATGACAGTCTGCCGTTGCTGTGTGCGTATTTAGAAAAATGAGCTACATGCCCCCCCCTGTGATGATCTCTACATAGCGTTCCATGCGCTGTGCATCGCTGCCCTCCTGACATTGCGCCGTCCATAACCTAAACACAAACCCGGAAATCCTAATGTAGGAACTTGTAAGAGGGTTTTGTGCATATAGTATACTGCGCTTCAATATTGAATATGAACGAAAAGTACTGCTGTTGCTCTCGGCTTCTACACCAAAACCTTCCAACCTAAACCTAAAGCGGCCTCAGAAACCCCCTAAAAACTATAATTTTCGGTTGTTATTAAGATTATAACAACCAAAAACCTTCAAAAACAAAAGCCAGAATATTTCAGAGGCCCCTAGGGCAACCTCAAACTCCAAGTCGCAATCCCCGAAATCCGTCGCATCTGGTCATTCCAAAATCCTCTCTAGAAACTACTACATTATGACAGGGTATATATATTGGGGTTATAGAATTATAGAAGGGTTTTAAAGGGACAGCCACTATTTAGGGTTTAGGGCTTGGTTTAGATTGGGTGCTGCCCCCACCCCTTCGCAGTCTATTTAGGCGTCTTACTAAGGGCTCTATATATATATATATTGTTGTTAGTAATATTATCCAACTGGTACAGAGTGGGACAGTGAGCAACGTTTTGATGTTTTGATGTGTTCTCTATCTCGTGCTCAGGGGAACATGACAATATTCATCCATAAAATCTTCTCACATTCCCAGAACTTATTAACCTTACTCCAAAACCCAAGACCCCGAACTCTCAAGCTTGGCACTCAGAAAGACTAAGTCCCATGACCTGCCAGGTGAGCATCCCGAATCTCCCGACAGGCCAACAGCCGGGGGAAAAAGAAGACTGTATATCCCTATACAACCCAAGTTTAAACTCCTAGTATCCCCCTCCATAACCCGCAGAATACTCTGCTGTATAATCCCCTAGATAATCCCCTTTCATGAGTTTCCATTTCATATTCCATGTTCGTTCCATCTGATTCTCGATTATAAGCCCTCTGACTTCAACTTGCCCGGGCCTTAGCCTGAGTCTTGGCCAGCAGCGATGGGCAAGTTGGCCTCGTGCACTACACCCTAAACCCTACTTGGAGGGTCAGGGGGACTTAGTAAGTAGGTCACTAACCCCTATAACCCATATAGTAACCCTAGTTATCCCCCTTATTAACCCATTTACTAAGTCCCCCTGACCCTCCAAGTACCCGGAATTCGGGGTACCTTTGTGGAGTACCTGTAACCAGGAGTATGATTTTTCCGTCTTGTTCGGCAAGTCCCTTTGATGAAAACGACCAACTGGGAACAGATCATCAAGTAAGACGCATCCGCACATGTGAAAACACGCAGCTCACTAGGCAGAGGTCGGCTGAAAACAGGCAACACTGAAGCTGTGTCTTGGGATTTAGGATCATGGGTTGGACGAATGCCGAAGATTATCTCCGGTGTTCCTTTTTATGTTTTTTGACGTAGAACTTTTCCTGACTTGGGTCGCAGGCAACCTAAGCTACCCACAGCTTGGCGAAAACAGTGCTCGAGGCTGTTTGCATCTGGAACTCCCGCAGGCTCTGCCAGACTGAAGGGCACCCCATCATACAGCGCTGCTGGCTGCAAGTGACCAAGCTCCCTCCAGGAACCTGAACCTTAGACCCCATATGTGCTAGTAGGCCCTCCATCCTACAGAAAGCCACATGTGCCATCTGCCCAGAGTAAGCATAAAAAGTCTTCTGGGGCCGAAATATCTATTGTAGAGTGGTTTGAGGCAGATGCAATCAAGGATGTCTCTAATTAACGGGCAGGCTGCAATCCCAAACAGCCACAGCTGCAAACGGGCAAGACTGTATTTTTCACGCTGCAGGTCTCATGGGCAAGTCAAGAAATACCCTAGGCCCTAGACCCTAAACCCTAATCCGTAAACCCTAATCCCTACATCCCCTTAAACCCTAAACCCTAGAACCCTAACACCCAACCCTTAATCCCCAAACCCGCAAATCCCAAAACTCAGGAAAAAAGGCCTTGCCTTGCCGGCTCCATCTCCTGCCCCCTTGGAGCTGATGGCCACAGCATGGTAAGCCTTGTTGCTGAAGTCCTGGGACCGGGCTTACAAGGTTTCGGGTGTAGGGTTTAGGGTCTTAGGACTAGGGTTTTAGGATTTAGGATTTATGGTTTAGAGTCTAGGATTTAGGGTTAAGGGAGGAGAAGCGGAGTTTAAAAGGCGGAGCGAACCGAAACGTTTTCCGGAGTGTCTAGGAAGAGGAGTTTAAGCGGAGGAGAGCGCGGGAACAGAGATGTTCGCGGGAGGGTCTGGGAAGAGGAGTTTAAAGGGCGGAGAGGAGGAGTTAGAAGGGCGGAACCCCGAAATGTTCGCGGGAGGGTCTAGGAAGAAGAGTCTAAAGGGCGTAGAAGGGAAGCGAGATGCAGGTCTAGAAGAGGAGGCTTAAGCGAGGAGGAGAGGTCTGGACCCGAGATGTTCGCGTGAGGGTCTAGGAAGAGGAGTTTACAAGGGAGGAAAGGCCGGGCCCCGAGATGTTCGCAGGAGGGTGTAGAAGACGAGTCTAAAGGGAGGAGCGGCCAGGACGCGAGCTGTTCGCAGCGGGACAGGACGCATCGAGCGGTCGGGCGGTCGCCGGCAGGCGATTGCAAGTAAGAATTGTCCAACCTAGTGAAATGGTCCCCTTTAAGTGTCACGAAAAATTGGGGCTGCATCCGACATGTGCATAGCCAGAGATAGGGAGGGGGCAGAAACTTGTAATTCTAAGGACTTGCCTACATTGGGGGCCCTACCGTATGGGAACATGTGGAGAGGCATGAGGGTCCAAATTGGCACATTACGAAACTCCAAGGGCATCAATGGTAATAATTACAGGAGTCGTTGTAACTTGGGCTTTCCCTACATAGTTCCAGTTGCCCTTGTAATTACTTTACAATTCCATGTCCATTTCACCATTCTTACCCGACCTAGGGCCACTGCGGCAGAAACCCAATATATATCCCTCCATCCCTCCCCACTTGGAGGGTCGGGGGGGAGCTATTGAGAGGAGACCTATAAGAAAAAAACGTTTAAAAAAAAAAAAAAAAAATCTTCTTCGGGCTCTACTAGAATACAATTTGAAATAATTCCTAAGGACAGTACAGATCACCCCACCTACTAAGTCCCCCTGACCGTCCAAGTAATGACCCCTTGAGGGAACTTAGATGAGTAGTGTGTGTGTGTGTGTGT